CAGCATGGAGGGCCTGTTGTTTGGTCAATCAGCTTTGGCCGTTGGAGCCAGCTGGTCGGGTGGCTAGCTAGCAGTTAGAGCGCTTAGAGCTTGCCATGTTGTTATAGAACGTTCTAGTTGAAGCACATGCAGCTGGTGATACCCAGCTCGATGACTGGGCTTGCTTGGGTGTCGGCCATTGATATTTAATCTATTTTCATATATTCTGATCTAAGCGGCATTGTCAAGCTATTCTGGGGTTTTGATTGAACATCTCATGTTGGAGGTAGTGGCCTTGTTGAGTATTGCCTGTGTTCTCCTGGACCTCCAGTGGGACAGTCTCCCGCCCAAATGGGCGAGGAAGCCAAAAACACCCTGGCGCAACACCTATGCCGCAGGCAACGAGGTGGTATATCTCAATACTCGTATGTCTGAGTATATCTCAATGATTTGAGCTACAAATGCGCTATATGAGTTTGTTTGGTGCAAAGATATTCCCATTGCTGCGGGGCCCATTACCAGTCCAAGACACTCTCATGCCGCTCTGCCTGGACTGTTTCGCCTTCCTGGCGCCACGGAAACACCAGACCTCGCCTGAGGAGGAGCAGTCGCTGGAGGTTTCTCGCGTGTTGTTTCGCATGTGTTGATGGCAAGCTTGCATCGACCAATGCAATCAATCAATCTATTGATCTATTTATCGATCTACCGATGTATCTATCAATCCATCGATCTATCTATCCATCCATCCATCCATCCATCTATCCACCTATCCATCTATCCATCTATCCATCGATCTATCCATCCATCCATCCATCCATCCATCCATCCCTCCGTCCATCCATCCATCCATCCATCCATCCATCCTATCTATATGTTTATCTGTCTATCTATCTATGTATTTATCTATCTATCTATCCATCGATCCATCCATCCATCCTATCTATCCTATCCTATCCTATCCTATCCTATCCTATCCTATCCTATCGTATCCTTCCTATCCTTCCTATCTATCCTATCTATCCTATCTATCTTATCTATCTTATCTATCCCATCTATCCAATCTATCCAATCTATTCAATCTATCCAAGCTATCCAATCTATCTTATCTATCTTATCTTATCTTATCTATCTCTCTCCCTCTCTCTGTCTCTGTCTCTGTCTGTGTCTCTGTCTGTCTGTCTATCAGTCTATCATTCTGTATCAATATATCAATCTATCAATCAAGCAACCTATTTATCAATCCATCAGTCCATCATTCTATCAATCTATCTATCAATCTACCAAACAACCATAATCAGCCAACATTTGAGGTTGTACCTTTCGTGTACTTTGGGTGATTTACCTGGTGTGGGTCCACCGAATCCATCCGTTGTCGTTTACCCAAGGATTTCCGTTATCGAACCGACAGCCCTACCAACGTACAAGGCCTTTGAAGTGCGGCAGGTTCCTTCCAAACTTCGGTGTTTGCATCCCCAAATAGCATGATCAGTGTGCCTCCTGACAGGAGCCATTGGCACCCAGGCAACAGGACACGGGCCTGTGATTGACCAGATAGCTGGCGGGCTGTGGTAGGGCTGTCGGTAAGACCATGTGCGGCAATAGGTTATTGATGTTTGCGGAAAGTTTGAAAGAACTGTTTGTACCGATGACGCAATATCAGGAGCAGCTGTAGTTAAATGTGCGTAACTGAGAGAAGCCGCCGCCACCACTCACCTGAATAAGCAATCCTTCAATTTTCCATGTTTCCAGGACGAATTGCTCTGTTCGATGTCTCTTCTCAAGTCTGACCAGAGGACTTGGCAGTGCCGCCAAGGGTTCAGCTCGCTCATGCTTTGCCAAAGAAGCAGGGCTGGGAGGCGCAGGGAGGAGACTTCCTGGGTCCCTGCATTATATCTTCAATCAAGTTAACCGTCCAAAGGTAACTTATTCACCATCCATGTGTGGGGTCCCAACCTTTGTGTCAATTTGGGATAGGGACAGTTGCAGAATGTGCAGACATGCCAAATGTGGGTCAAGTTGGGCCTGGCTGGCAGACATCCAGCCCTCCCAGGTCCTTCCTCGTGAGGGGTTCAAGTCCAAGCTCAGAAGATTATAGTAGTTAGTTATATATTCAATTTTATGGCATAGAGTAGGTCATGGCCCCAGGAACACATGGAAACCACTCAGATCTACCAACTGATATAGGAAATGAACAGAATGAATGATGGTGTCACTCCGAACCGGAAGTTCACTCGAAAAAGACATGCTTCAGTGCGGCAGAGCCAACAAGATTCTTGTCCAGCTTTTATTCCATTCTGTTGTGATGATGAGGTCACGGACGCTGTTCAACTTTGACTCCCTCCCTTTCTCAGCTTCCCATTTTGTCTCAAGGGCTTTGACATTGGGAGAGAGATTCCTGAAAGCCGATCAGCAACACATCCTTGGATCCTCGGGTTGTGTGGGTGTCTCTTCTCAGAAGGCATTGCTACAAGAGGAGGATGTGCAATGGCTGCATATTGGTGACGGCTGGCTTCCGCCCTTGGTGGAGGTGCTCTCCAGCAGAGTGGGAGGTGCTTTCCAGTCCCGGCTGGTCTTTAGCACACGCACATGCGAGTTATTTGGAATTTCTCGGTCCCTGATCAATGCACCAAGTCATCTATTGGCTGGGACTTGTTGGAGAGTGCCATGCAGGTTGCCAAAAGGACTCGTTTGGTTTGTGGCACAGGTCTTTTGCTCCTTCATGTGCGATGTTTAGTTCGGTTTGTGGTTTGCAGGGGGCAGCTGATAGTGCTTATGGAGTTGTGCTAAAGTGCCATGTCATACAGGACAGCTGGCAATTCTACACTCCACGGTTGAGTGTGCGGTTTCGAGCCAACTGCTTGCCACCAGCGCTTAGTGGTTCAATGCGGCAACTTTGTCCACCATGCATCCGATGCCTTCGCTTCAGCAGCACTAGCAGTTCCCAAGATTCATATGCATAACGATCCTAGTTGGTCTTGGTTGAATGAAAGAAGCCGGAACTTCACAGGATTTGACTGTGCAAATAAGTTGTCTGCTGGACTTCCTTTTTTCCGCGGTTCAACATGAGATGTCCAGCGAAACATGCCAGCACAGGTGCCTCTAAAGCTGCGTGTGGGAGAGAAGGAGTTCAGGCGCATAGAGATCAGTGCAGCATGCCGCACGTCCTTAACGGACAGTCCATCCTTCACCTGAAAGTCATTGGACCCCCCTCTGCAATTCATACGCGCAGTGGGTCACAAATCAACATTGTGAGGACTACTTGCCGTTGTGCATAGACGTAAATAAAGTACAGAGTCTCCAAACCTACAGCACTATAGGAACTGGGAATTTTGATAAGAACATTTGTTATATATACATATATTCATAGTGAAGGTTTCTTGCATCTGGACTCTCAACTCTTTGGTTCGAAAAATGCGGTGACTTGCGAACGATGGAGTGCAAATCCCCAAATGAACACGTACTTTCGGGCCTAGGGCATGATCAGCCTCCATGGCATACCCCAAGTTCACGGCCATATCTCCCTTTGGCCGGTTTCGGCTCCTTTCAGTAGCGCTTTGTGGCCTCGTGCCCGCCAGAAGACCGTAAAAGTGGGGTCCGCAGCGAGAAACCTGTGGATCCAGTGGATTCATCGCCAGGAGACTGGTGAAGCCTCCGAGTGTGGAAGCCTTGTGGGAGTGGTACGAGGAGGGAAGCCGACGGCACGACCATCGGCACCAAGCAGTTTCGCGGCCTTGCGGCGTCCGATGTAAGCAGGATAAATTAAATGAAGAAAAGCAATCCATGTCCGATCTGACCAAAATGACATATATAATATTTACAATTTGGGGATCTCTTTTGCTTCCTGAGAGCCACTAGATACAGTTTGCTGGGTTGTGGGCCCTGGATATTTTTGCTGGGACTGCACAGGGAGCAGATCGACAGGGAGACAATTTTGTTGGTATCCTTGTTGCTTGTGGTTTTGTTCCTTAGTTTTGTTAGACTTGAAGGTGATAGCGGGTTGCAACGAAAGTCCGAAAGTACCAGCAAAGCTACCTCTAAAATAGAAGAAACCTTATTTTTGGACATGTTTTGCACAGTTTCTATCGTCGTGAAAGCTTTGTTCAATGGGTTTCAAGTGTGCACAGCATGCGGTGTTCGTTTTGTGACCTGTCCTACGCCGTGAACAAGTTGCCCATTTAGTCGGGTAGAAACGGTGGTCAGAAAGAAACAGCAGCATCAATCAAGTCAACTGATCATTGTTTCATCAAGGTTAAGGTCATATTGTCCTCAAATCCAGATCCGAAGGTAAGTTTACTTGAGCGCATAGAAAAGGGCATGATGACTCAAGTCAATCGACGAGGAATCCTGCTCAAGTGAAGGGCGAGACCTTGAACGCGAGAGTATGCATAACTTAGCTGAGCCATCCAAATTGTGAGGCTTAGTCTGCGCATTTGGCGCTTCCGTGTTTCCGCTGCCACCCCAGGAGCATGGCAAGACGTCGGCAGACCCGTCCTGGGCACAGGCGCTCCTGAGAGCTCATGATGCCGTTTTGGAGCTGATGTTGTGGTACTAGTGGTTTTCCTCAGGGAGAAACACGAGAAACAGGATTTGCATCAACCATGTTGGGTCCAGATGTGGTTGGTTGCTAGGGTGCACCCCTAGCAGCTAGCCCTCGCAAAGCAGTTGGTTTTGATTCGCCCATTCGCCACCGCGCAGGAAACAATTTTGGCAACCCAAATCCTGAACAGGCAACTGCAGCGGAGTAGATCGAATGTTTGCAATATAATGTTCTATTTGGCCGGGTTGAGTTTCCGCCGTTCGGGATTGCTCCGAAAAGATGTTGCTCGAAGAGTTGGCAGAAGTCAGGTCGTGGTTTGCCAATTATGAGTTCGTCAACACGCTCTGCCAAGTACAAGTTCTATAAGTACGGTTCTGCCAGGTATACACCGTTTGCCAAGTAATTTATTTGGCTTGGAATTTGACAGGCGGGTGTTGAATGATCAGCGACCTTAGGGCTTCTACACGTTTCTAAGTAGGTTTCATAAGTGGCACGCATGCATTTACCGCTATTCTGTGGAGGCACCCGAAGAGCTTTTTATGCCCCACAAGGGGTGTTGCTTGTTCGGGAAAGAAGTTTTGCCACTGATGGGAATATTCAGGAGTGCTGTCCTTGTTTTCTGATGGGGAATTCAAGCAGATACAGTAGATTGTTTTGCTCACAGATCCTTTGGTTCATCCCCTCAAGCAGCACCAATGCTTTGCTAAAACGGCACAGGTTTGGCCCTGCGCTGCTGCGCTGGCCCTACTGTTGACCCGGCAGCCTGGGTACACCGTGCGAGGGAAGCGTGTGGTGGAGCCGCTTGGAGAGACTTAGGACATTGGATGATGTATAGATCGAGAAGGACTTTCTTTGTCCTCATGTCGTGATACTGCTTATGTTCTTGACGTTGAGGTTAGGGGGGTTGAGCCCAGAGCCAGAGCCGTAGCATTGACGCAGAAATATCCAAGGCCTTTTGAAGGGAATCGAACCTGAGACTTTGTACTCGTAGTTCGCAACCCCTAAAATGCAGCCAGATTCTTCTTGTTTTGTTGTGCATGATAGCACTGTGCCTTTTTTCACACCGGTGCTGAGCTGATTAGGTGGATCACTCTTGGCCGAATAAATTGACATGACATGAAATGAAGGAAGGAATAAGGAAACTGGGAAGGATCGCAGAAATGGGCAAGTAGGCCACATGCATGTTTGCTTGTGGTTCCTTTTCCTCTTGCAGTTTAGATCAGTTCGGTGCATTTCGTGTATTCACATTGTTTACTGTAAGTAGAACAGACAAGCTTCCACCACCACTGCATGTCACACATTCGGAAGTTCTGCAACCGGTGCTGCCAATTCTCAACTACCAGTATAGTAGTCATGATACATGGTTATATGATTGTTGATCAATCCGCTCTAAAATCCACTGAAGTAAGAATCACCGCCCCTGGCTGAAGTAAAGATAATCAGATAGATATATTAATATATATATATATATATCCGATTACTGTTGGTAATTGGTAGATGTTTCAAGGACATTCATGTCTCAATCTACGCTACACACAGCGTTTCTAGTGCTCAGTCTTTGTGAGGCTGGGCGCTGGTCTGGGTGTCGCTGGCCTAGCAGCCGCCTTGGCCGGTGCTGATGTATTGCTTTTAGACGCTGGGACAGACTGGCCCACAGACACTTTGATCAGGGTCCAAAACAGAAGGAAAGGGAATTATTGGTTGCTTCAACATTGCCAGAAACACCCGAAGCGAAGTCATATGACTCCTTGCGCTTATGTTGCAACTCACAATCAAGGGAGGATACTCACGGTACATGTCGTGTTTAATTGTTGGTATTCTTTAATTGTTGCAAGAAACCCAGTCGCAAGAACTTTATCAATGTAAGGCTCTGAGGATACCCTCCCACTCACTGACATGGAACTGGACACATGTATGCATGAAAATTGACTTTTGGATAAGAATAATTCTCTATCAACAGGATGGTGTCCACTCCCATGTGATTCGGGGCGTACCCTCCCCCAGGACCTGCAGGACCTGCATTCGCTCCTGCAATCACATTGACTATTTGTTGGAATCATGCGTCAGAGTACAACTTAAACTTGCAGGCCGCCTTTCCTCACTGAGGACTCCAATGGAACAAAAACAAAGTCATCTATATGCCATCTATCAGAGTTGCACTGCAAAAAGAGGCCCGACATGTCCATCGTACTGAGCGCCAAAAGGACCGGGAGCCCTTGGCGTTGCACTGCGCGGCCTCTACGGCCGCCTTGCAAAGCCTGCCCGTGGGCGCTGTGGATGCGCCCCACGCGGAGCACATGGCGCGGTTGGGGCGGTTGGGGCCATCAGGGAGCCGGAAGGGAGTCCGGAAGGGCACTAGGTGTAGAGGTGTCAACACTGATCATGTATGTTTGAGGTGTTTGCATAACTCTCCCTCTCTCTATAACATATATATATATAAGCACACTTACTCTGGGTCAGTATGAAGGATGGCCATCATTTCCATCAATTGGTCCATTTTTAGTGCAGAGGTTCATGAGCATTCGCATGTGTTTTAGTTGGTTCTTTTGCTTTTGAGGGGAGGGCCCTGCACATCCGAAAGCGCCGTTCTCTACATGCCTCAAATATACTGCTCCAGGGGGCGTTGGGGATGGGCTGGTCATTTATGCTCCAGAGGCCAAACTGGGTCGAACACGGGCTGAACCACATCACCGGTGAGCAGGTCAAGGTTTGGCGGTAGTTCCTCAAAACGATCCGATTGCAATGATTTTACCTAGTGGAGGATGGCATGCGGCTTTTGATGCTCAATTCCAATATTTTAAACACCAACACCAGCAAGGAGAGGAAAGACTGCAAGGCTCAGAACGTCATGAATTTTTTCCATGCTCGTCACAAAGAGGTGACATGTTGAAGCTTGTGAACATGTTTTTCACAAGAAAGCTTTACTTTGCTGCAACTCAACAGATCTCAAGCCCCGGCACTCCTCAGCCGGAGCGAAGGTCCGGGCTGCCGTGTACGACTGGTCAGCTTCGCAGACGTTCAACTTCCCAGCTGATGCACCTTGGACATGGAAACCCTTTTGGGTGGGGCCTTTGGGCCTGTGACCTTGGGAAAACGCCTACAGAAATCCTACAGAAATGAGGCATATGCTTGCAGCTTGCAAGCCAAGCAGGTAACTGCTTATCATTTAATACATGATATTATGAGAGTTATATATATATATATATGTATATATACAACCAACCTCCTCTATGGATATATATATATATACACACAGGTCCAACTCAATGTTCAGAGTAGTCACGACTGTCGGGGTCTACAAGCAGAAAAGCACAGCTCCGATCCAGTGATGTGTCAGAGAATGCCCATGTTTGTCAAAGATTGCAGCCCTGCATCTCTCGACAGAAACGACCTTTGTCGGACTGCTCCCAGGTCGTGGTGGCCTCAGAAGTGCTCTATGACCCTTCAGAGGCTTTGCAGGTCTCGGTGAGCGCAATGAAGCTCATGGGCGAGGCGCAGCCATGCGTGGCCTTCGTCTCGAACACGGATGACCTTGCACATAACAACAGCCAGCTCTCCCTGAACATCAGCTTAGAGGCATTTTGGGCATGTCCAGGCATTCGACATGCAACGAAGGACAACTCCTGTACAGAAAGGTATATTGGACAGACTGTTAGGCTCGGATAATATAATCAGTCAACTCCGCCTCCGTTTCCACCAATGCTTACTCCCAGTGAAAGGTCTTTCATCTAAATGGGTGGCCCACCAGGCTCCTCAGCTGCGGAACTGCCGCTTGCTGATCACCGACCCCAGGACGAGCTCGATGGTGAGCATATGTGGCCATGTTGTGTCATGCCAAATGCACTGGGTGGTTTTAGGGCGCTTTATGGTGTCCTAGTCTTCCAGGGGGTCAGGGCTTAGCGGCTTGGGCCTTCCAGCCCTCCCGATTCTTCCATTCGACCTCCAAGCGTTTGAACGGCCAATGCGCTTAGACAGCATCGCTGTTCCGGAGGGGCCAGTCGGTGGAGTCTTGCCTTGTTTGTTTGAATTCTGCTGTTCAACCCTTAGGAGGACACAGGGCATTTGGATGTTCTTCCATCCGCTGCTTTTGGCTTCACTGGCTTTCCAGCCAAACTTGTCAGTCGCCATGGCGCGGAAGCGGGAGTCGAGGGAGCAGAGCGGACAGACCTATGGCGGCTCAGTTGAATCCGGAGGGCTAGCTGCGCAAGATGGATTGGATTAGTTTGACTAACCATCACTCCACAGGATGGAGAATCCAATCCATGCTGGCAGAACCGTACAGGATGTTCCAACTGGCTCACGCGGCACTTGAAGGGCTAAAGGAACCACAGAGACGCTTCTAATGCCAACATTTGCATGAAGCACCTGGTATTTGTATTTATTTGTCATGGCCCATGTGAGTGTTCCGGATGTTTGGTAGGAGGTCCAGCTTTCATCAGGTGAGCGGATTGCAATGTGGAGTTCTTAGTTTTCACTCATTGCGTTGTTTTATTTGGCGCCTTTCGTAGCAAAATCAAGCAGTTGAATGCGGAGCAACAGATCACAGCATCTCGACACACCATTGACCCCGCGCTTCGGTGTTTTGTTGAGAATGTGTTAAGATCCCACCCATCCACTTGGATTCCCAATCGATTCGCTTTCAATCTGCCTTAGTGTCGAAACAAACAGAACTAGGCAGCTTCATGGCGCATGAAAGCACCATCCAACACTTATTTGGACTTACTTGTAGCTTGTGGGTCCACCTTTGCAAACCCCCGGAAAGCTGTAGAAAGTCAAGGAAATGTCATAAAGGACAGACCCACAGCAGCTGCGCCTGCTTGCTGCGCCAGACTGAAGAAACCCCTGTAGTGATGCCCCACGTCTCCGGCGACGCCCCAGGCAAGGTCTCCCAGGACGATGGCCTCCGGCGACGGCAGAAGGCTGACTCCGACTCCGAGGCCTCCGGTCGATGGTCGACTCCGGTGCCCCTTGTAGCTTCTTGCTCTTAGTAGGAAGGCCAGGAGCTACTAGTAGCGTTCTTGTTACTAGTAGTAAGGTGCCTTGCTCCTAGTAGCGTCCTGGTTACTAGTAGCAATGCCAGGAGCTACTAGTAATGCCAGGAGCTACTAGTAGCGTCCTTGCTCCTAGTAGCGAGGCCCTTTGTTCTAGTAGCTTTTTGTTACTCTCAAGGAGGCGTGACTCCGGAAAATGGGCAAAGTAAGATGGTTCAGGGATGTTCAGGGTCGATGGATGTTGATGGGGTGAGCATGTTTGTTGTATGGTGTGGGTGAGTCCTTGCGATTTTCCGGTGCTTTTGGGTTGAATTGTTTGATGGGTCAATCATGGTCAAGCGATTGTGGAACCAAGGTATTTCTGCGTAGTGGAAGTTAAAGATGGTGCAGGTGCAGCTTGATCTGGTGCGATCAGATATGGTCAAGGATTTGTTGACTCCTTCAGTAATGCTTCAAGCTGTTGTGTTCTCGTTCTGAAGGTCGCTTCCGCACTGGTTCGCCGCTGGAAAGCTTAGATTCATGAGGGAGACACCTTTAGTGTCTCCCCCCGAAAGCTTGCAAAACCAAAAGACAAGATCAACAGATTCAATGGATTGAAAAGGGTTCTTGTTAGACCGGTTAAAAGAAGAGTCGACTTACTGTACTTGTTTCGTATTTATTGAGACGCGTGAAGCTTGCCCATCTGGATCAACACTGTGTTTCTTCACCGATTTTCTTCCATGCATTTCTTGGACGGCCACATAAGACCACTTTAGCCGGGCTTCGCTTGCGCTGTTCAGGAAGCAGAAGATGAATCCAAGCTCACGGAGAGAGAGCTGGCGAAGAAGAAATGGGTACCTTGGGGGCATGTGACGGTCAGCATGTCTGATTCTTTGGGGGCCAACTTGGATGTCGGGATGACTCGGCAGGTGTTTTGAATCTGTCGTGGTGCCAACTTTAGACTGGTGCCCACCACTGGTCGGTTCTTGTAATAGCTTCTCGTAGATCAATTGGCAATTCAATGGTGTGGATTGCTGGATTTGATGGAATTACTATGAACTACTGCACAGCCAGATGTTATCACTGTATACTTATGTTATTTTATGTTTATACATCTGAATACTCTATGTCATTTGCCGAAGGCGCTTTCTTAATCCTTCATGTAAGTCGGAACGGCCCGCAGCTGATCACTGATCACCTACAATCGCCTACAATCCTACAAGTCCCTTGTGAGTATAGCACGAGACCAAATACGAGACCATGTTTTTGTTCACTTCCCCACCTGCCATTGATCCATCCACAAAGGTGAAGCGCCTTAACTGGCTGTGGCGAAAGATGACCGCAGCTTTCTGGGTGAGCATGGCGTGTGGGGCCATTTGGTATACGAACTTCTTCCGCTCCTTGTTGGCATCGCTACTAGGGGCTCCTGGCCTTACTACTAGGAGCAAGGACGCTACTAGGGGCTCCTCATTGAGGCAGGGGCGCGGTGCCCAGAATCTCTCAGCTGGTCGCATTTGTCGCTAGGGGTGACAGGGAGAAGCCCAAGCCTTGAAGAAGTTCTGGTTGGAGGGTAGGAGGAATTGCCATGCTAGCTCTCATCCTTCTTCGGACATTTTAAGCGCGAGGGGATTTTCAGAGGGTGGGAAAGGGATGCTCACAGGATTTGTTCAACATGAATCAACCGAACATATTGGAACCATGAATCGTTCCTTTCCTGGATCAATGTTTCCATTGGTCAATGAATCATACAAGAAGCACGATGTTTGTTGCTTGTTTCGCCTACTCCTTCAGCCGGCATTCCTGCAAAAGGAGTGATTTGGGAGTCGCCTTTGGTGAATCGAACCTACTTCTACTTGGCCCTGGCCTGCCTCACCTTCAACATGACCTTGTTGGCCTACCTGGCGATTTGGTGCACTTCTGTCCTAAAGATCGAAGAGCCATGGGAAACGAAGCATCCCAAGGCCACAGACAGGGTGGTTTTTGAAGGGATTCCACCCCCAATCTGAGTGCACTCTACACTGTAGAGGATAACACCAAAATGCTTGAGTCTTGAGGGTGAATTTACATGTTCAGACTCCTTGTGAATCTTGCTTGTTGCTTTATGCGGTCCAAGTTCACTTTGCCGGACTTGGGGTACAGGCAACTTTCATGTGTCTGACGTTCGTTTCCACTCGTTTCAACCGTTTTCTACTCGTTTCAAGGAGGCCTCTCAAGCAGAGGAGTTCCTGGACTTGAAAACGCACGATCAAAATTCACATATGAGTTACGGTCAAAACATGTGAACACCACTTTAGTAAAGAGGGGTTGCTTTTTTGCACAAAACCCTGCAAAACGATACGGTCCACCCTCAAAACCGATAACCCCCGCGCTGTATATGATCATAAGTATGCGGCGAACTCAAAACACTGTAAAATGATAAGGTCCAATTCAAAACCGATGACGTCCATTTTTTAGCTGAAGAATAATAATTAAGGAGTTTTGACCATCCCTCATATACAAGATTGCACAAATAGCTCATGTTATTCCCACTGAACGACAAAGGAAAGAGCTGAACGATGCTCCTGACCCTGCAATCGCTCTGTGTGTTTATCAAGTTCAAGCGAGTGTGAACGAAAAAAAGAGATCCCAGGGGGTCTAGTGGGTCCACGGTTATGACAGATGCTTTTGAACGATTCCCAGGTCCAAAAAGCATGGATCATCCATCAACGGGGATGGGGGTGCTTCTGGAAGCCATGCCACTACCTGGTTACCTGGGAGCTGGCCCCACTGTTCTGGAATTTTGGAGGCTGGAAAACACTACACGTAGTACTGTATAGGCTGGTTGCATATTCCATGGTATTCCCGACCTTGTTAATGCAAAAAAATATCGCCCTCATAGCTGGTTGCTCTTGCAGAGGCCATCCCGGTCATGGCCATCGTAGGCTTCACCAGTGTGCCATGGCAGGATACGTTGGATGGGGAGCATTAGACATCACCTTTAGATGCTGAAGGGGTCATGTTCTGTTTGTTTCTATATTTTCTATCTATCGATCATAATTGGTCTATGTATCCAATTGCATCAAGCAAGCAGTTCCACTGGAATTCCCACGGCCAGGCCCAGTTCAAACGTCGAAAACATCCTTCCAACTTTGAGCTGCATGCTGCCTCCCATTTGGGTGCATGCTTGGAAAGGTGTGATGATCGAGTTTCGCGTAGACTTCGATGCCGACGCGACTAGGCCATCCCGCTTCCCATCCGTGATGGGGCGGGGCGACCGAGGTGTGGCTGTTCTTCTTTGCCTTTTGGCCTGTGTGGGGCCTCCTAACACTGGTCCTCCAGTTTGTCCTCTTTCTGGGCTTCGTGAGTGCAGGAGAGGAACGCCAGTAGAGAGTTCTGGAACGCCAGGTGAAAGGAAGGCGGGCTTAGAACATGCAAAACCACCAAGACATGAAAAGAACTGGCCGCAACCATGCAAGCTTTTAAATTTCCAGCTGGAGGCTATGTGAGTGTGTCATTCTAAGAGCACAAGTGTCAATGTGATTGACAGCCACGTGCTTGTCATTCCTCGCACCTCAGATGTGCACGGTGAAATGTTGCAGCTGAGGGAACTAGGTTCGAAACGCATTGTTTGACACACCTCGTCATCGAATCGATTTTTCCCTTGATTGGCACCCTTGCCGGCTAAACCCTCGCATCCTCCATGCCAGGACATTTCCTGCCCAGCGGAACGTCCGAGGGCCCAGAGAAACGGACGAATGACCTGCTTCTTTTGCTTGGGTCAAGACCAATACATACCAATACACAAGAGGACACCGAGATAGGTGTTTACCTCCAGGCGTTGCTTAATCCAAAGCAGTCATTTCTTGCTAAGTAAACTGCAGGCAGATACGCCAGGTGTGCATCAGAACGACATATTACTTCACCTCCCTCCACACACACACAGACACACGTGGAGAGGAACTTTCTGTTTCGGTATGCAAGTCCACGTCTTTCCTCCTGTCGATTGAGTAGCGGGACTGCAAGCTGCGTGGTTGAGAACTTCAAAGTTGAAGGCATCAAACAAAACCATACAATGATACAACCTTGAAAGTCTCTTACAAAAAGACGTAAACACTCAAAGACACACCTGGTTGGAGGAAGATACCGGACAGAGATTTAGCACAACCTTTGGAGATGTTCATACGCCCACCGGTCCCCCTGCAATTCCCACATGTCAAGAACCAGAGCAAGTGGCGGCGTTGCCACCTGGTGGCATGAAGAGTGAGCCATTGCCAATGGGGTGGCGTATTCCAGCACATGGATGTATCCCACACCATCAACCGGTGGGCAATCCGTTTAGACTTCCAACTGTTTGCCATCAGTTTCGCTTAGGTTGGGCGCCATCCTGATGTTTGTGATCTTCTTTGGTGCATTCTTCACCTCTGAGTTCATCCCACATGAGGGCTTGGCGCACTACACCCCCAAGCCCAGCATCTCATTGGACTAAGGACCGGATCCAAAGATCTGCCCATGAATTGATTGGATGATTGAATGATCCTGGATATTGACTGAATGTCACATGGACTTGGAACTGAGTTATATATATATATATATATTATATATATATATACTGCGGGTGACGTTTGGTCATGGTTCGTTTGCAGTCCTTGCTTGAAAAGCCTCCATGTGGGTTGTAAGACCATTTTTCCTTACGATGGGAGTGGGCTTTTGCGGATAGCAACAACGGATAATTCCAACCTAATAGCAATGGTCTCAGACCTAAAATAAGACAAAGTACATACTAGTCTATTATAGCTTTCCGTTTGGGACTGTCAAAGGGAACATTGAAAGAAACAAGTGCCACTATGTGCGCTTCCTGCTGCACAGCATTAAGAGATATCAGATATATTGCGATTATAGTCGCTGCTTCTATGCTACTCTCAGCTAGCTATCCTTTGTTTAGAATGTTAGCTGTAAGAAGCTGGCTGGGTTTGGGGACTCTATAAGTAAAGCCGATGACTAGGGTGCAGATCAGCGAACGAGCCGGGTTTGAGTGCCAAGCGCAAGCAGCAAGGATTTTTTTTTGGAACTTCACTGGGATGGAAGTGGATGTGCTTACTGTCCTAAGCTACTCTTGGTTTGGGGGTTCCCGCAGTCTCGAGACATTTGCAACATCCTGGCACCTACCGCAGCCGACGTTGCACGACTTGATGGCGGCAGGAGCAAATGTGATGTGAGGGCCTCGCGTTGCATGGCTGTTTGGGGGCACAACGCCAGGTGGCTCTTGGAAAAGGGCGAGGGCGCTTGGCAAGTAGCTAGGATGCAGATGATTGTGCTGCAAGTATCAGGTTTCAAGCAAAGGGGAAATACGAAGATTCTCAGTTGAATCTATTGTATGATTCCATTGCATCATTGAAAAGGACATATGACATATCACAACAATCCTTGGGCCAGAGGATTTAGATAGACCCTACAACACCTGTGATAACATTTTACACCAGGCTTGGGGCACCACTGCTTGCATGTGGCGGCGGGGTTGGATTCGCCCGCAACGAATCCGTCTGCACCAGAAGACGCGCGGAAAAAAAGCAGACGGCAGTTGCAGATGCACATTCCCACGACGAACTGCTGCCCAAGCAATTTGCATCGCTGCACATGAAGCAAGCTGCACCGAACGCCAGGAGGGAGCGCTGTCCGGGTACCCGGGAAGCCTTGGCAACAGGATTGCGCCAGGCGCGGCTTTTCGAGGTCGGCTTTGACTCAAACAAGAAGAACACATGGATCATGTTTGACAAATCTTTGGCAAGGTAGGTTGAGTTACTATTCAACAGTCAACAGATGTTGCCGTAACAGATAGGTGGGGCCTATTGCATGTAAGGTGGGGCCTATTGCATGTAAGGGTCAGTAAACAAGTTTATCACTATTTTTGGACAAGGCCTTTACTGACCATCATCATCCACTGTCACAGGTAATAGGATAGGCCCAACAGATAGGGATCGTGTTTGGACTTCTTGGTGAAAAGCTTTTCCGAACCCCCATGGAGCTTGTGCAGTGGCAGCTGCCGTGCTGCAGTTGGCGCATTCACGTAGATCCTGTGCTTCCAATGGCTTCCTTTTGTTGGTATTTGTTGATATCCACTCGCACAGACCGGAGCACCACACCCCAAGCAGATCCAACACCATTCGTGGGTCCCCCGACCAGGCTGGAGCCACCGTGGAGCTCTACGAGGCTGGTGAGAGACCATGTCTAGGGGCTCATCCGGGCTCATCCATGGGTTCATCTCGTTTCAGTGGATCATTCTTTTGTTTGCAAGGTTGCTCTTCCCTGTGGAAAGGTTGATGTGAGCCGAGGGCCGTCCGAGTTTCTGGGTGTACTGGGTCCTTCTGTAGAGTCCTTCTCAAAACCCTTAGGTCCTTGGGTGAAGGTTGCTCTCGGCATGAAGGAACGAGTGGAGGGCACCGGAAGCAGCATGAAACGGAGATCAATCCATAATCCATATATCAAACACATACAGTATAGGAAAGAGTTTCGTCAAAGCTGATGCTGGTGGGCCCCAAATACCATTCATGCCCGTTGGAAGGCGCCGACACCTTGTTTGGGAGATGGCTTGCAAGATCAGGAGGATGTGGCCTGGAGCCTTTGGACGTGGAGCCGGGGGTCGGTACAGGCAGGTCTGAAAAGCTTGGCAGGTAGGTGGGTGGGAGTCTAGAGTCTACGAGGTGAGATGACGTTGGAGAATATTGTTTGCCAAGAAGACAGGCCCCAAATCAAACTGGAGCAGAGCAGTGTCTAGCTGAGCAGCACCGTGCCCTTTGTTGGTTGTTTGTACCTTGGTATTTGGAGAGGTGGCAATGGCGGCAACGGCAGGAAGGCTTCTGTTCCTGGGCATGCCCAGGCTATGTAGACGGCTTTGCGAAAAGGTGGGCGCCCGATTCCCTGAAACCCTCCAGGAAGAGAATGTGACCAGTGGGGGGGGGGTGTCAAACACCTGCATGTTTGATCCTTTGGAAGCGGACTTTGCCAAGTGAAAGGAGTTGACTAATTAGAAGCATTTATATAGCTACTACATAGATCGTAGAAAAGGCAAGTCAAAGAGGCAGGTGGATGGATGGACATGTCTCCATGGTTTGGCGACGTTTTGCTGGACTTTGTTCCTCAAGACTGAGAAAAGACAACAGACACATGGCATTTGGGTTCGCGGCTGAGGCTGTGATCGATGCCATTTGGAAGTGACGGACAAGTTTTTGGCGCCGAAAAGGGGTGACGAAGCGGGGTGCGGAAAGACCACTCATCTTGGGAGGAATTCTACGGAGTGAAGCAGGAACCTGTGGCAGGCCGGTCACCAAAGGCCCCTTGGTACTTGAAACAAGTGTTAAGTGTTAAGCAAGAATTTGAATATATTAGAACTGGTCGAAAGGGACATGCTCCGTGGATCCTCCAACCGGACCTGGGTGGATAGATGCTCATTGGAAGAGCACGCCACCACCCAACTAGCGGCGATGGCGCGATGGTGAGCAATCTTTGTCTAGTGATGTCTTGAATTTCGTGGACCACCCAAGTCATCGCTCGGTGTGAAGCTTGTTTGGTGAGGCATCACCCAAGTACCCCAAGGAATCCCAGCATATCCCAGTCGGGGAAAGCTGGTGGTTTGAGCCGTGTGGGGTGTCGAGTGCTGATTCCCACAGACTGATGCAAGGAGACTTCAAGGGTTTTATTCCTGGGCGGAGAGTGGACAGACAGCGCCTGTGAGGGTTCAATTCTCCTCCGGAATCCAAGCTTGATTGATGTTCCGCCTGCAGAAGGTTGTTCAAGAGAAACGACCCTGGGCCAAACTTAGTGTGAGGAAAGGATTCAGTCTGGAAGTTTGCAAGGTTTGACACCTAAAACTCGGTTTTCCCATTGTTCCCACACCTTGCCTGTCATGGCTGAGCCACATGGCTCTATAATTTAGGACCTCCAGCCCAGACCCATCTAGGCCGGGCGTATATCAATCAGAGATTTTCCATAAAGACCGCCGTGCGACGATGTTCGGAGCCATGCTGCTTCACATCCTGCTGCTTTGGGTCCTGAGCCATCTCAGCCGTGCTGACTGTGAGCGGAACGATGCTCGACCGGATGCTCGCCTCAAACCCTACAGCTTCGGGTTTGCAAGACACGGCAGTTTGGCAATCAGCAGTGGTGCTGAGGGATAGAGACGGATGACACCTGGAATGCATGGTAGCCCCCCCAATAGATATAATAATAGATTGAAGGGATTTCCAAGAATTTTGCACATGTTTGAAGACAGTTCACTTTTCCATGTCGGGGCGGCTGTGCTATAGATTTGAGTCTCCGGTTCCAGCCATTGCCTTCAGTATACTATCGAGATGAAACCATTACTACCACAATTACTGTATAATATCCCCCGCCGAATGCATCCTATAGAATCGGGGAGCTTGAGTACAAAATGACCCTCAAATTTTACGTGGAAAAAACACTAGCTTTAAGAGATGGGCCCCCACTGGTTCAGCTTGGCTGATGCCCAAAGGTTGAGCCAGTCCATTGTATAGAGAAGGCATGAAAATGCACCATATTCTATAGAGGTTATAGTTTTTGATTCATTCCGAATCATTCAATCATCCTTTGTGCGATTTCCGGTGAGTGTTGGGATTCTAAATTTCAATTGTCCAATCACCCCTCTATAATCATTGTTTTAACACATGGGCTTGGTCTTTGCTGTTTATTTATTTTTGTTTATATAATGCAGATCTGCTTAACCTTCTTCTAAAATCAATTTCAACCCTGCAGTGTCCCAACATATCTCTATAAACCAACCTTTTGGGCCACTTTTGTCCAATCTTTTGCTAACATCAATTTCAACCGTGCAGTGTCCAAGCATGTCTCTATAACATCAATACCAACCTCTTGGGCCATTTTTGTCCAATCTTTTCTAAAATCAATCTCAACCCTGCAGTGAGTGGTCCAAACATGTTTGGACACAATCAAAACCAACCTCTTGGGCCACTTTTGTCCAATCTTTTTCTAACATCAATTTCAACCTTGCAGTGGTCCAAACATGTTTGTATACAATCAAAACCAACCTCTTGGGCAACTGTTGTCCAATCTTTTTCTAACATCAATTTCAACCCTGCAGTGTCCAAGCATGTCTCTATAAAGTCAAAACCAACCTCTTGGGTTACTTTTGTCCAATCTTTTTCTAAAATCAATTTCAACCCGGTGTCCAAACATGTCTCTATACAATCAAAACCAACCTCTTGGGCAACTTGTGTCCAATCTTTTTCTAAGATGAACTTCAACCCTGCAGTGTTTAAGCATGTCTCTATATAATCAAAACCAACCTCTCGGGCCACTGTTGTCCAATCTTTGTCTAAAATCAATTTCAACCATGCGGTGTCCAAACATGTCTCTATAAAATCAAAAGCAACCTCTCGGGCCACTTTTGTCCAATCTTTTTCTAAAACCTTCATATGTTCCCCGCTTCTCTATAGAATCAATTCCAACCTGGGCTTTGCATCATTGATTTTCCAATTTGTTGGCAATCAACATTTCAATGATGAGAAAACCCGTTTTGGCCAATACCTTGGGCTGAATCATTTTGTAGAGAACGGGCTTTAAGCCTGCAGGAGGTTGATATGTGATTCTATAGTGAGGCAAACTGCCCTCTGGGTTGGTTTTTCGTTTTATCGCTATAGAATCGATTCTCAAGGCTCACCGGTAATTCCACCGGGGATTGTATAATAATGTTGACTCTTGATTAATCAACCCCCCCCTCCCCCCCCCCAACAATTGGGGCCTCTATAATGATATGCTAGAAAACCAATCAATTGATAAATATATAAGGAATCCTTAGCTAGCTACCTCTGGAGCTACTCTGGCAATACTAACTAACAATGAAAGGAATCATTACTTAGCTATCTCTGGCAATACTAAAATGAAAGGAATCATTACTTAGCTATCTCTGGCAATATTAAAAATGAAAGGGAATCAATGAAATCTCAAATTGAAGACATTTGGAATACTAAAGTAAAAGGAAAGCAATAAAGTGGAAATGGAATTCTCAATATTCTAATGGAAATCTCAATCCAAAGACCTTGAAAAGCATCCAATCTCAATGGAAATCTTCAACTTTTCAAGAGCTTAGGTAAGTAAAGCAAAGCAAAAGGAAAAGAAAGGGACAGAATACAAGTTTACTTAAAGCAACATATTTTTTAAGCTTGACATCTCTAGACATTATTCTAGGGCCCCCCCTAAATAATGTCAGAAAGCTGCTTGCTGGACTACCCCCTTTGCTTGAATGATTTTTTTTCAATATTTTCGAATAAGGGATTGTGTAAAGAAAATGTGCACTGACTTTTGGAAACTTTTGGAACGCTTAAAGACTAAAGAGCTTAGGTAAGTAAAGCAAATCAAAAGGAAAAGAAAGGGAATTAATACAAGTTTACTTAAAGCAACATTTTTTTAAAGCTTGAAATCTCTAGACATTATTCTAGGGGCCCACCCCTAAATAATGTCAGAAAGCTGCTTGCTGGACTACCCCCTTTGCTTGAATGATGTTTTTTTGTTTTTTAATATTTGAATAAGGGATTTTGTAAAGAAAATGTGCACTGACTTTTGGAAACTTTTGGAAAGCTTAAAGACTAAAGAGCTTAGGTAAGTAAAGCAA